CGACTGAACAGTGCCCTCCCAGATCTCCGACGAAACGTTTTTCAATCCAGGCGTTTAACTTCGGTTTCGGCTTTTAGGGCCCTTAAAAATAGATCCGGCCAAGGGGTTGGGACCTAGGGACGCGCATTGAAAAATCAGATCGTCGTTTGTCTGGGTACCGCACGGTGGCTGATTACTGGTTTTCTCCTGGAATCCTTCTCTGCGCTTCAGTGCCGTGGTATGATGAGTACGGCATGTGCCCCAGTCAGCGTTGCATAATATCCTCCCTCTTCCTTCATCTCCTCCTTTTCGCTTCTCCCTCCTCCCTCCCTTCTTCCTCCTGGGCCCCTGGAGGCCCCCAGATGTCAAACGAGGATTCCAGAGGCCTCCCGAGGCCCGAACACGGCCGAAGGCGTTCAAAACCTCGATTCTGGACCTTCCACCTCCTCTTCCAGCTTGGGCCTCCGGGAAGGATGGAGGGATGCGTGAGAAGGAGGATGATGATGAGGAGGAGGAGGAACCTTCCTCTCTCCTCCCCCCTCCTTTTCTTCCCTTTTCTCCTCCTCATCCTTCCCTCCCTCCCTCGCTCCCTCCTTCCCTCCTTCCCTCCTTCTCTTCCTTCTCCTCCTCCTCCGCCTCCTCCTCCTCCTGCTCCTCCTCCTCGCCCGTCCCTCCTCTTCTCCCCCTTGCGAGGCAAACACCGGGAGGCCTGTGTCCTACCTCTGCAGACCAGCCCCGCGCTCTATGGCGGATTCCGCCAGCAATCTGGCCAGCAACAGCCACCTGTCCGTCAGCGTCCTTGGCCAGGACGAGGCGACGCCCAGGATCGGCCGCCCTGTCGTCGTCCCTCCTCGTTCTCCTCCTCCCGTTCTGCCTCCTCCTCCTCCTCCTCCTCCCATTCTCGCTCCTCCTTCTCTTCCTCTTCCTCCTTTTTCTCCTGCCCCTCCTCTCCGTTCCTCTCCTCCTCCTCTCCTCTGCTCTTCTTTGCTCTCCTCTCTTCTCCTCTGCTCTCCTCTCCTCGGTCCTGTCCTCTCCTCTCCTCTGCTCTCCTCTCCTCTCCTCTGCTCTCCTCTCCTCTCCTCTCCTCTCCTCTCCTCTCCTCTCCTCTCCTCTCCTCTCCTCTCCTCTCCTCTCCTCTCCTCTCCTCTCTCCTCTCCTCTCTCCTCTCTTCGCCTCGCCTCGCCTCGCCTCGCCTCGCCTCGCCTTTCTCCTCTCCTCTCTTTTCCTCTCCTCTCCTATCCTCCCCTCTCCTCTGCTCTGCTCTCCTCTCCTCTTCTCTCCTCTCTTCTTCTCTTCCCTCTCCTCTCCTCTCCTCTCCTCTCCTCTCTCCTCTCCTCTCCTCTCCTCCTCTCCTCTCCTCTCCTCCCGTCTGTCCTTTGCTCTCCTGTCCTCTGCTCTCCTCTCCGCTCCGCTCCTCTCCTCTCCTCTCCTCTCCTCTCCTCTCCTCTCCTCTTCTTTCCTTTCCTCTTCTCTCCTCTTCTCCACCACTTCCCTCTTCTCCGCATCTCTTCGCTGTTATCTTTTCCCCTTGTCCGTCAGTTTGTGCCTCAACTGCTCCTTCCTGTCCTCGCCCGTCTTCCTCCTCCTCTCCTCGCTATCCCCCCCCCCTCCCCAGGGAAGGGATGGCCAGGGAGGGGGAGGAGGGGGTACGGAACAGGGAGTGGGAGAGTGGAACTCCCCTCCTTCTCCTCCAGGCCCCGAGCGTCGTCGCACCTGACCCCAAACCGATCTAAACCCGATCGCCCGAAATCAAACACCGTGCGGATTGCGGGCCCGACCGTCGTCTCACCTGGACCCCGCGATCCTCCGAAATCAAACACCGTGTGGATTGCGGGCCCCGAGCGTCGTCTCCTCTTTTTCCTCACATTTCCTTCTCCTCCTCTTCCTCCTCCCTCCTCCTCTTCCCTGGTTACGTTCCGCCTCCCTCCTCCTCTTCCTCCTCCTTCAATCACCCCCCCTCCTTCCTTCACTCTTCTCATCCCCATCCTCCTCACCAACAAGTGCACAATATGAATGCTACTCGCCTTTCTCCCCTGAAACTGTCCCGAAGATCCCGGGCCCACGTCCGCGTCTGTTTTTTTTCACCGGATTGGGCCGATTTAGTTTTCTAGATGTGTTTTTAGAATCCGATGGTTTCGAGTGTTTCAACGTGGTGCTCCCGCTGCAGCGTACGCCTCATTTTCGGATCGGCGTTGTGCTCCCGTCGTTCAGAATGTTTCTCTCGTCCTAGCGCGGGCCACTTTTCTGGATCCGAGTCCTTTTTCATCGTTGTCGCCCCCCCTCATTCCCCTTCTAAGCATTCCCCTGGCACCCCTGCTCCTGCCTCTGCTTCCACTCCAGTTCTTTCTGCTGTTCGTCCTCGTCCTCCGTCCTCTTCCTTTTCCTCCTTCTCATCCTCCTGCTCACCCGCCAACAACTCCTCCTCCTCCTCCTATGTACGCAGCTCCCCTTTTTCCGATTGTGCGCCAAACGATGTTTTTTCGTTTGCAGTTCCAGGTCGGCTATGACGCGTCCGCGGATACAGGCAACATCAGCGCAATGGGAAATAATCAATAGGAGGGAGGAATATGACGCCAGAGATGGCGCGAGCTCACCTAGCTTGTCCTATCTCCTCTCTACAGCTGGTCACGGTGAATACTATTCTCATCCCTCCCCTGAAGTTGTCCTGGGCGTGGGTCCGCGCTTGTCGCTTACCGTTTTTCCAAACCCACATGGTTCCAACAGTTTTGTTGCATCCGTTTTTGCAAATATATGGATTTCCATGTTTCAAACTGGTGCTCCCGTTGCAGCGTGAACCTCAATTTAGCATCGGCGCTTTTCTCCAGTCTTTCATAATGGCGCTCTCGCCCCAGCGTGGGCCGCTTTTCTGAATCCCACAGGCCTCGCAGGTCCCGCAGGTCTCGCAGGTCTCGCAGGTCCCACAGGTCCCACAGGTCCCACAGGTCCCACATTACCCACAGGTGTCGCAGGTCGGGCCCGACATGAACCACAGGTCTGCAAGGCTCCACAGGTCCCACAGGGACCACAGGTCTCGCAGGTCCCGCATGTCCCACAGGTTCCACAGGTCCGACATGTCCCGCAGGTCCCACAGGTCCCTCATGCGTCGCAGGTCTCACAGGTCCTACAGAGCTCCTCCAGGTCTTCAGGTCCCACAGGTCTCGCAGGTCTCGCAGGTTCCAGAGTTCCCACAGGTCCCACAGATCCCACAGGTCTCACGTCTCCCACAGTTGTCGCAGGTTTCACTGGCCCCACAGGCCACATAGGTCCCTGAGTCGCACAGGTCCCACAAGTTCCGCAGGTTCCAGAGGCCCACCTCCCACCTGCCCCACAGGTTTGACAGGTCCCGCAGGTCCAACAGGCGACAGAAGTCCCACAGGTGTCACAGGTCCTACAGATCACAAGTTCCACAGTTCCCACCTGCCCCAGAGGTCCCACAGGCCACCTTTGCTGCTATTGGGATGCTTTGCTTGGTTAGTGGCGTTCCAGGTCGGCAGAGGGACGGAGGGGTGCAGGACATGGAGGGGTAGATTGGAGCTCCTCCTCCTCGTTCTCCTCTCATCCTCTTCGCAGGCTGCTGCTGCTGCTGCGGCAGGCTGGCTCGGTCTGTGATGTCCCGAAGCCTGCGCCCCCTCCCTGCCGTCTGGCAGGGTTTTGGGGGGGTCATTCTAGAATGTGCTCGCTTGCGGCTGCGGCGGGGCCGACGAGCGCGGCGACGGGGGGGCGACACGGGGGCCGAACGAGAGGGCGAATCGAGGGACCGATACCCGAGCGCAGCCTCTCCATCTCCTCGTCCTCCTCCTCCTCCTTCTCCTCCTCCTCCCTCGCCCTCGGCTGGTCGGTCGGTCCGCATCGAAGGGATGAGTCTGAGTCCCAATCGATACTGAGTTCAGGAGAGCGGCAGCAGAGAACGGCGTGAGGCTGCGCCCGCGGCAGCGGCAAGCCTCTGATGGTGAGACAATTCTTCGTGCTTCTCTCCTGCTCCTTCACCTCAGAACTCCGACGCCGCGATTTTCTCACAAGGGGGACCCCCAGAGGTCTAGACCCCTTCCCCAGGACCTTATTTTCCTTCTGAGTCGTTTCGTGACTTGACGGTTCGGGAAACCGGCGACGGCCAGGGGCCAAATTTTCCAGTGGCATTTTTTCCGCAAACGAGAGGTGGGTTCGTCCCTCCTCCCTCCTCCTCCCTCCGCCTCGCCGTCCCTGGCGCTCGCGCGCGCGCCCCCCCCTTTGCCGCCGAGGGGGCAGAGCCGTGCCGGGAGCATCGCCGGGCACGGCCTGATACCGCCGCTCTGCCCGCAGCTCATGGTGCCGGACAGGCTCCGCCGTTTCTGTCTCTCCACCGCCCCTCGTGGCCGTCGCCGCCGGCCGCTGCTGGATCTTGCTCCTCCCCCTGCCCCTACCCTCCGCCTTCCCTCTCCCCTTCCTGCCGCCCCCTCTCTCTCTCTCCCTCCCCTCTCGGAGGCGGCGATGGGGGCGAATAGTCCAGCGGGGGCAATATACGCATCCAGGGGGCCGATATTTTTTGTCATCGGCGAGGCTCCCGGGCGAATATGTGCACTGTTCTTCACTATCCCCCCGCATCGTTGTCCTCGCCTCTCTCCCCCTCTTGACCCTCCTCTTTGTTCCCTGTTTCCTCTCCGTGTCCTCTCCGTCCTTCCCCTCTTGTTCTCTGTGCTTCCGCAGCCTATGGCTTTGATGTGCAGGGACGCCCATGACGTCCCGTGCGCCGTCCCTACTGCCCCGTTCCAGCTCAAAGAGATCTCTATCCCCATCACTCTCGCCCGTCTGACCCTGGACAGTTGGTAAGCGGAGCGATGGTTGAGGGAGAACACGGCGATGGTGAGGGAAGAGCGAGAGGCAGCGAGGAGACAGGCGCCGGCGACACGAGTGCGCAGAACCTGATGAGGCCCAAGACCGCCGACGCCGCCACGGACACACAGTGGTGGGACGAGGGACCGGCGGTGATCGCTGGGATTCAAACTCGTGGTGGTGGACCAGAGGATGGGGAGACTGGTGGTCGGCCAGCGCCGAGTGGAGCGGGGGCTCCTACAGTCGCAGCAAGGATTTTGGTCCACCACCGAACTGGCTAGGTTTCGAAACGTCCTGGTCGGGACGCAATGGACACGAGCCAAGACACCAAGCCTCCAAGATAGTTGAGTCCTTCCCGACCGAGATTCAGCTAAAGTTCAAGGTGATCAGAGACACTCTGGACGTGGAGGACGGAGTGAAGAAGATGCTCGATCACTTGGCAGTGCTCAGTGGCGAATGACCAGGGGGCATGGCCCGGGAGGCCCATAATAGAGCGCTGTTCGACTACATGATTCACAGAGGTGAAACATTGACCGACTATGTTCTCCGACGCGGCGCTCAAGTGGCTGAGGCGGAAACTCACGGACTACTCTTGCCCGACGGGCTGAAGGCGAGGTACCTGGAGGAGGGCGCGGCGTTGTCGAGTCAGAACAAGTTGAACATGAGGACTCTCGCGATGGGGAGGGCAGACTTCGCGTCCATTCGACAGGCCCTCCTCCAAATAGACGTAACGGAGAAGAAGGTTCTCCCTTCGGCGCCCCCCGCCCCCGGTCAGAACCTACTGGGAGAGCGAGCCCGTCGACGTGCAGGTCTTCTACGACGACGACCTCGGTGACGAAGCAGAGCTGCCAGTCGAAGAGGCGGAGGCCTTCCTCGAGATGCTCGACGGGCAGGACCTGGACGAGGAGGAGGTGATCGACGTGCTGGCCGCGGTGGTCGAGGAACGCGACGGCAAGGAGCGCCGCAGGACGTGGAAGGAGTCGCGCAAGCTCAAGATGGCCAAGCGGGTGGATCGCGGCTTCTTTGACCGCACGAGAGCGCGCCCGGGCTTCAAGAGACTGATGACGACGGACTTGAAGAAGCGCTCCAGGTGCGCGAACTGCGGCGAGAAGGGCCATTGGGCCGACACCTGCAAGAACCTGCTCTGGTCCAAGAGCGACAGGATGACGGCCGAGAAGGGACAGGGCAAGAAGGCGGCAGGAGGCGGCAACGGGCTCACGTTCTTCTTCGAGAATGAGGGTGACTTCGGCTCTGCAGGCAGCTTTGCGACTGAAGACCTTCGACGAGAGCGACGAGCGCAACTGGTTCAGAGGTGGGCTCGACTCTTGCGTGAACGCCCGGATGCCGAGGCCGTGGACAACTTCCTCAGCCTCAGAAGCGCAGGGGCCCACGCCCTAGTGGATACGGCAGCGGCTCAGGCGCTCATCGGCAAGCCGGACCTGGAGGTGCTGACGGAGGAGATGAGGGACTTGGGCTACAGGGTCAAGGTCGACTGGACTCCCGTGGAAGGTATCACGGCGTCCGGCATCGGTGGCCGGACGACTCCCGTCGCCAAGGCGTGGGTCCCGATAACGATCGCTGGATGCGGCATCGTGGAGTTCCTGGTGCTTCCCCACGCCTGCCCGCCCCTGCTCTCAGCCAGGCTGCTGACGATGCTCGGGGCCTCGATCGACCTGAAGAGTGACGCGATGACGGTGGGCGAGGACGGCGACCGGGTGAATCGCCAGCTGTTCGCGCACCCCGCCGGCCACCGCTCCGTGGCGCTCGCGCGCAGGTCCCCCGACAAGTTCGCGCTGCACCCGGCCCTCCGGCAGCGGTTTCAGGTCAGCGACTTCGCGGTTGACCAGGACTTTCGCCCCCGTTCCTCTGTGCGACCGCATTTAGGGGCTAGCTTGAGGGCCCAGGATTGCAGCAGCCGCAGCGGTGTAGGCTCACCTCTCTCCGACTCTCCTCTCCCCACTTCTTTCGGAGTCGATCTCGGGGAACAGCTACCCGTCTTTCGTCCAGAGCCCCTCTTGGCTCCAGCCATCGGTGATACCCAGCCCAGTGACGGCACCCTTGCACCCGGAGATGCCTCCGAAGCAGAAGATCGTGAGCGGCAGCTCGCGCAACAAGGGGAAGATGACGATCAACCTTCGTTCTCTTCGGCGCAGGGCCCAGATTGCGGCGGTCGAGGGCCTGGAGGACCAGAAGATCATGCCAGATCAGGACGGCGAGGAGATCCCAGGCTGGGAGGAGCTGGGCGACCCGGTCGAGCGGGCTCGGATGGAGCAGATGCTGGCCAACGAAGGGATGAGCGAGGTGGACAGGCAGTTCTTCTCGCAGGGCCACCTCCACCTCGAGGGGAACGACCACCGCTGGAGGCACCTCTGTCTGAAGGCGATGTGGTTCAGTCGGGCGTGCATCAGTATGGTCGACGCGGTGTCTCGGTGCCCGGACGCCCAGGAGGAGATGACTCAGGAGGGCTGCGTCCATCCGCCGTGGGCCAGGTACTCGAGCAGCAACCAGCACTGCTACTGGACGGGCTGCCTGCAGTGCAAGGGCCGCCTGGCGTGCCGGCAGAAGACGGACGAGGAGAAGGCCGATGCGCAGCGGAAGAAGGCGCTGAAAGAGAATAAGCTCGAGATCAACAAGGCCGCCAAGGCCCGGGTGCAGGCGGAGCTCGAGCTGATGATCAAGGATCACGACCTCCAAGGTGGGGGCCCCTGGACTGTCCCGCCGCGTCCCAAGGCGCCGCCGCCCAAGCTCGGCGTCCCGGAGCACCGCCAGGCCTCGGCGCGGGACCTCTCGGCCGGCCCCTTCCCGAACCCGAACATCGTGCCGATCAGCGAGGGTTGCGTCCCGCGGAAGCCACCGCCTCCGGGGGCGCCCTTGCGCAAGGGGGCACCCCCCCCGCCTCGCATGAGGGCCGTGACGGTGTCCGAGATGCAGCAGGCCCTTTTCGACGTGAACCAGCTGGTCGAGAGCCAGCGCAAGAGCAGCGAGCGGTGCTTTCAGCGAATCCTGGACATGGTGACGCAGCAGGACCGCCAGCTCAAGGAGGCCATCGGCCATCCGAAGGTCGCGGCGGACGACGGCCTTGGCGAGATGAAGAAGATCGTGGAACAGCAGAGCGAGCTGATCACGCAGCTGATGAGTCGCCCGCAGATGTCCGAGACCGACATGGCCCGCCTCGTCCACGTGGCGACGAGCTTGGCCCAGCCGAGTGCTGCGCCACCGCCGGAGGTCTCGGAGGCAGCGGGCAGCCCAGGGCATGCGGATCGCTCTGGCAGCTGACCGACGCGTGCCTGGAGACGATGCCGCGTGAGGGCCAGCCTGACATTGCCCTGTCCGAGGTCCATTCAGGGAACGTTTTTGTCCGGGATCTGGATGTCTTCTTTCGCGGGTATCGAGGAGCCAGAAGTTTCAGAAGCGACTGGAGGAACGTCTTGGGGATCTGGGACAAGGTCGGCAGCGCGTGGATCTCGGGGCGAGAGGTTGCCCAGCAGCTCGAGCGGCAGCCAGTTCGACTCGGGGCGCCTGAGACTCGAAAGCTTTTCGCCGCACTCGCCTTGCACGCTTGTGTGGGGGGGCTCCAGCTATCCTGATTCCCGAGGGAGCCCGCTGGGTCGAGGTTGAGGACAAAGCAGGAACCGTCAGGGCATCTGGAATCTGGGGAGCCATTGGAGTGCGAGATGCTGTCGCTGGCCTCGACTCGACAGACGCCCGTAGCCTCGGCGTCACGTTCTGGTGCGAAAGGCGTCAGGAGGAGCAGCAGGAAGAAGGAGACCAGCCAGGAGGAAAGCAACAGGAGGAGGAGCATCGGTGCAGATGGAAGAAGGAAAGCAGATTCGGTCTCGTCGAGGTCGACCGCTTCTCGGCTGCCGCCTTAGACGGGCGCTTAGAAGTGACTAGGCCCCAGGCCACCCTGCCTCATCGAGTTCGCGACGCAGCTGCCCGGACCTTAGACGGTCTCGGCCTCAAGGCCCTTCGGGGCCGACGTCGGAAAGAACTGAAGCAGCTGGAGAAGAGCAGAGGAGGGGCCCTGGCCCTAGATATCTTCTCTAGGCCTCGAGTCACGGCGGAGCTAAGGCGCAGGGGATTTCGCGTGGCGGGGGCCCTAGATGTGCTCCTAGGGGTTAACCTCGGTACCCCCGAGTGCGAGGCTAAGCTGTGGGCGGTCTTGGAGGCCGAGGCCCTTCTCTTTCTTTTGATGTCTCCAGAGTGCAAAGCTTTCTCACGGGCCCGGGTCCCAAATTGGGGCAGGGTGGACCCGAGCAGACAGAAAATCGTCGAGGATCGTGGAATTGGATACATGCACTTGTGCGCTCGCGTGGCCGAGTATCAGGTGAGCCATGGTCGATGCTTTGCCCTGGAGCAGCCTTCAGGGGCGAGCTCGTGGGACCTCGAGTCGTTCCAATTCGTGGCCTCTCTGCCCGGGGTCTTGAAGCTGAGTTTCGATCAGTGCGAGTTCGGTCTTGACGTGGTCGGGGATCCCTCCGGGCCCTCTAAGAAGCGCACCGTTCTG